GCTGCGTAGTGTTGTCAATACTGTTTGCCGATAAACGAGCGATAGATTGACTTGCAAAATGAATCCGCATTTTGTAAGCACATTAGCTAAACGGAAAATCATCGTCAGGATCGGTACTCCAACCGTCCGAGCGGAACGCAAACGGATCACTACTTTAAACCCCAAAGCTTAGGTTGCTACTTGACCCAAATGAACTGAGGTGCACACCCGAAGTTTGTGTGTGTATGATAAAAAGTACACGTTTGGAAGACGTTTCATACTGCGTGAATGTGAACACCCTGTAACATGCACAATGCATTCCAAGCGATAAAAGCCACAGAGAGAGAGAGAGAGAGAGATCGGAAACGTGAAGACAAGGGAAATGACGTGTAAACTGTATAAGGAAAACAGGATTTGCGAGGTAGGATCAGGCCAGACACTCGTCGTGTAATGCAGTGAAGCGAACGAATAATCAGTTCAGTTCAGTTTTTACAACCATTGACCATTCACTTTCGTGCGCCAGTCTTGGCTGCCCATTTGAATAAAAGAGCAGAAAGAAGATTGGAATGTTGAAAGCAACTTCAAGCAGGAGATGGATAATTTATATAGTGTTGTTAAGAGAATAATGGGTAGATGCACGAGCGCCTGGTCAGTATTTTCGTACCCTCATGCCAAGTCCTAGCTTGAACACCCTTGACCTTTTTCCAACCGCTAACTGCCTCGGTAAACATCACTCGCCGTGGCAAGTGACATGCACAGCACATGGCCCATCCAGCGTAATCTATGGAGGTCGATCACTTGCTTCAATGGACGACCGCGACTGCCTAATACTCTACGCCTCACCTCAGCTTTGCTCGTCCGGTTACTCCACTAGTTTCGTGCAATGCTGGGTAGACAGCGGTGCTCGAACACCGACAATCTAATTTCATCCTGTTCCCGTAACGGCCAAGTCCCTGCACCGTAGAGTAGGACTGGCCGAACTGCTGCAGCATATACTCAGCATATACTTCACAGACAGCCGGATTTCGCGTCGGCGTCACAAATGTCTCAAGTTGGCAAATGCCAACCGAGCCTTTTGTATGCGAACAAACAATACAAATATACGGACCACAATTTCCCCTTCCGTTTGATGGTCAGCATTCATCAATATTACCGAATCAACCCAAAACCTGGTGACCATAACCATTAAAACTGCGAAGAGATTTGATACGAACTAACTAGGAGTTCAACGGTCTACGTGGTTCCTCCCGTTCTGGACATTCCCCGGGCATTGTAACTATCGTCATGCCTGCTCCGTATGTGTTAACAACCGTTTTCTAGCTTGGTTGTCATGACTGACAGTAAACCAGGCGGTCACCAATACTATTTCTGTTTCACCCCTTCTTTTTCCGCAAGCACGAGAGAGAAAAAAGATACAAGAAAACAATATCAACTGGAAATTCAATTATCACCTATCCCACACCGACTTGCACGCGCACGCCTTCATGCACGCACCCACCCACACACACACACACACACATACACTGGAGACGAGTGTAACGCACATACTGCAGTCCCAAAGTTCTTTTCATTTCCCCCAAAATGATACAAGTCAAAAGTGCATCCGATACGGGCACAAAAACTCAATGACAAGGGGTGCAAATCATCCGTATCGATTGCGAAGGGGGGAGGGGGTTCAAGCGGCAACAATAGCGTCACTCGTACGGAGCAAGAGAAAAGAGGAAAAAATATGTAGCCAGAAGACAACAACAGAAAACCGAACGCAGAAACCAGATCTGCCGAATCCGTGTGCGGATGTAACTATGGCCACATGAAGTGACTAACAGGTGGTGGATGAGAGAGAGAGAGAGAGAGACGAACAGACAATATGAGAACATGGTGATGATGTCTGTGTGGTAATGTGTGTGTGTGTGTGTGTGTGTGTGTGTGTGTGTGTGTGTGTGTGTGT